AGCCGATGATGACAGGCCAAAGTATCTAAGCTTTTTACAGAGAATATTTGGGTCAACCGTATCGAAGGCCTTGCTAAAATCAAGAAGAACTAAGCAGGACAGCTTTCCTTGATCAACCGCGCTATAAATATTATCCGATATAGACAGGAGCGCAGTGGTGGTGCTATGTAAAAGCCAAATTGAAATGGCGGACAGGGGAGGTCTTTTTCTATCACCCCAGGTCCCTCAAACAGTTTTAGCCCAACGGCATTAATTATGTAGATTTTTTCATTAGTAGAAACTCCAAAATGTAATACACAAAGTGAAATAAAAAAAATAAAGAGTATGTCAACCTAATGATACATTTATCTTAATGGGTGATGTTGCACCAATTTTACTGAAAAGACTACATGCTGCTGGCAAGTAATGTTGATTTTGTAAGATTGATACATCACCCATTAAGATAAATTAATCATTAGGTGCACATACCCTTTATTTTTTTTATTTCACTTTGTGCATTAAATTTTATAGTTTTTATAAAAAAAATTAAAAAACTACATAATTAATTTCGTTGGGCTAAAAACTGTTTGAGGGACCTGGGGTGATAGCAAAAGACCTCCTCTATCCGCCATTTCAATTTGGCAAACGATGCACCAAATACCCTGTATAAAGAGCCTTGGATGGTATTTACCGGGTACTACCCGATGGGAAGTGCGGATTTGGTAGAGCTTACTTTGAAAAAATATGAATTTGGTTATTCCGTTTCTGACCTGCCACAGTATCTTCTTTACAAGGGAATCACGGTTCCAGTGGGATATGTCGCGTTATCTACGTTACTTAATGGTGTTTATACACCGATTGACAAAAAAAGGTAAACATCTACGTATGTCTAACGATTTTAAAATTTTTTGGCATATATGTTCAGTCTCACTTACTAGTGAAATGATTAAATTTTCAGCTTTATCGGTTTTTTTCAAAGTGAATCTATAATCTATAACTAACCAAGTTATCAGTTTGCATGCCCTTACCTCAGGACATAAAAGTTCTCGACCAATAACGGAATACTTTTCCTGGTACCTAATGTACTATTTTTAACATTTCGACCGCCTCGGCAGTCTTTTCAAAAGTGCAAGTAAATACATATACAAGGTGGCGCATCGACCGCAACAGACGCATTTACTGGCAGCTCAGTTTTTTTTGAAAAACGCTCAGACCCGTCGATTTTGTTTTCGAGGGGGACACAAGTTTGTCAAAAAATCACGTTAGCACGTGTAGCCCCCTAAGCGGGGGTGACACCAGCCCCAAAATCTTAAATGGAAAGGGAGGTCGAGTGATACCTTATTTTAAAGGTCTTCCCTTTATAATGATATAAAATTAATGTACATCAGTTCAGTAGTTTTGAAGATTTATTGATTTAAAGCTTAAATAAAACTAATACATCATCATTAGTGGTGATCACTACATTTGGCAGCAAAGTAATTGAACTTGTTATTTACAGTAAGATAAATACATTCACCAGCTTTTAGTAAAATAAAACCATTTAAACTGGGTGTTCGGATTTATATGTCACTTAGTATATTTCCTTATCTTTCTTCAAGAAATAACTTTTTGCCACAAAAAAACGCTATTTTCAACAACAAAATGATAAACAAACCATGGGCGTAGTGAAGAAAAGTATTTACTTATTAGGAAAATTCTTTTAGTCAAATTTCTTCTTAAAGTACTACAAACTAATCTGATGTTCCTATTAAAGTCTACTTTAAGCTTTAAATCAATGAATCTTCAAAACTACTGAACTGAAGCTCATGTATTTTACTTCATTATAAAGAGAATTGAAAGACCTTTAAAATACGGTATCACTCGACCCCCCTTTCCATTTAAGATTTTAGGGTTGGTGTCACCCCCGCCCAGGGGGCTGCGCGGTGCACGTGTTAACGTGATTTTTTGCCAAACTGAGTCTGAGCGTTTTTCCAAAAAAAAAACTGAGCTGCCAGTAAATGCGTCTGTTTCGTTTTCGATGCGCCACCCTGTATAATTGAAAATTGTAGTGTATATAATAAGAACGGAATACCCTCTAGTTGGCGTTTTTCTCATATCTCGCAGTTTCCCTTCATGAAAAAAGGACCGACAGCATGTTACTGTCACTAGCAGCGACAAGGTAATTCGGCAAACATGAAATTTTAACATGGCAAACAGAATAAGAACGACGCGACCTCGCGCCGCCCGAGTTTGCCAAAAAATATTCGCGTTATTTGACTTATTTATGTACATAGTAATAACTAATTCTGTTCCAAACCAGCGGTAACAAAAATGTGTGCCATATTGAAATAAGGGATAGTTTGAGAATCTTGCGAAATTGTTCGACACGCTATTGGTACAAAATAATGGTGATTCAAATTCAGTTTCCACATTAGAAGTATTTAAAAAAAGAAGAAATTGTAAATTATAAAAGAATATGTATTTGCCCTTTCAGGGTAGTTATATACAATTATGCATGAAAGATGATATCATGTGGCATGACGTAATCCGTTTTGAGAAATTTTCGACTACTCTGTGGCACAAATCAGGTCTTATGTTGGTAATTTCGCGTCTGATCTCCTGTTTCAGCCCCGCAATTGTGTTCGGGTTATTCTTGTAGACTTTCCTCTTGAGACACCCCCAAGGAAAATAATCAGTATTACAAAGTTGTCTGCTTTCGAGACATCTGAAAGATACCAAGAAATAGGAAAAGCATACTTCAAGGAGTATTATTAAAGTTCCACGCCTGATTGAATTTGGACCATTAAAATTAATTTTGACATTCTCGTCAGATAAGGTTCGCTACGACAATTTTGTCACCTGAGTAGCGATTTTTCAAATTATCATGGCAGTGTCGATACTATCACCGCGGATCAAATGTATCGTCGAAATTAGATTCAACTGCCGAAATGCAATTAGAATCATATCACGTAATTTGAAACAACAAATCATTATTTCTGAAATCGATATCTATTTGTACGTACACGTATATTTTGTGTAACGTTCTCTTCAATGATGGAAACTTAATCATTTAATTATAAACAACTATCCATTAACCAAATGAACCATCAGTCAAACCGTCACCATTTTGACATAACGAGACATTAATATCCTCACCCAGTAATTTAAAAATATATTTACAAATCGTTGCAACGCCTTGGTGCATACAGAGTGAAACAAAAAGCATCGGCAATTTTCCTAAAGGAAAAAGTACGTCCAAAAATAACATACATGTGTTAGTTTTAAAATGTCCAGTTACTGAGATTATGGATTTAACTGAAACATTATGCACGGAACTTCAAAAAAATATTTCTAAATACCGGATGAAGGTGTCGAAATAAAAAAATTGCAATATAGACAAAATGCATTCTTTATTCCCGTTTTTGGGTCAGATAGTACCATCTCATTAGCCTGCTGTCAGCTCCTTCTAAGCTCGGTGAAAAGAAGATTATGCGTCACCTTAGGAATCTCTCGTCAGATCACCGTGTGATTTCTGACGTTCAGTTTGTCTTTCAATCTGAGCATAGTACAGACCTACAAGCAGCCAGGCTGGTGAAGCGCGAAACTTGTCAAAAGTATTGTCGTCTTGATTCTGGATGTCTCAAAGGCATTTGACAAGGTGAGGCATTAAGGACTTCTTTAGGAATTGATTTAAAACGGCTCTCCATTTTCGCTTCTAAAACTCCTAAGCTCCTTTCCCGAAGATTGGAAATTGAAAATCAAAACTAATAACATACTTTCAATAACACGGCCTGTAGAGAATAGTCCCAGCAACTGTGAAGTCTAACCACTGTGCTGATGCCACTGCATTGGTGGCCCAGTTTTGTTCTGGGGGTACAATTTACGGTGGAAGAAGTGTTGTAATGGGCTGATCAAAATTAACCATTAGGCTATTGTATCAAAAAGCGTCGCGACTCTCGGTAAAAGATCTCTGGTGATGAGATTCTGGTACTATGGGAAAATTCCGTCAGATACCTTGGAGCTATTCTTGACAAGAGTATGGTCTGGCAGAAATACACAGATTCACTAAATTCCAAATTTCATTTCGACAACTTTATCCTCTATTATGTAAATCTTCAAATCATACAAACAATAACCAATGCCCCATGGTATGCCTCAAATGAGACAATACACTGAGATTTCTCCTATTTAGGGGTAGCGATGTTATAAGCAAGCAAAATCGCACTGCAACCTGTTGTTGCGTCAGTCAGTGGACTACAAAGTCGATCGAGTCCGCAAAACATTACAGACGGCGACACGCACTGTGGACAAAACTAAATTATGCATCTTCAGGTCTTCCAGGAAGACTTTTTTATAAAACCTTTTTTTACAAAATTATTTATCTTATGGATAGAAATATATCCAGTCATTTCAGCAATGCCTAGGCGTTTCCTCTACTAATAGCTGTATTTACTGTTCTTTGCTCTTCATCTTCCTTCGTTATTTCTTCCTCTTTTTCTCTTTGACTTTGCCTGGTTTCTGGGCGACCAGGATGACAGATTGACATACTTTGGTAGAAAGGCAAAGATTCCACGAATTGCCTGGTCAGACAACGACGAAACAACCACATTGCATCAACAAAGCGTGCAATTTCACCTGAAGAGTCTCTTGGGTAATTTTTCCTATAACACTGCCTTTGGTGAAAGGTTGGGTTGACATTATTGAGATGAAACCTTCAGAAAACTGAAATACGCCACGGAGTAGAGACAGAAATTGAGTAATGGGATATTATCACAACGCTATTTGAAGAATATCCTAAGGGGCCGTTCAAGCATTACGTGAGCACTATGGGGGGCGGGTGATCTTTGTTTTGCTTATTTTGGATGACATGGGGGGTAGGGGAGTCTAGATGATGATTACGTCATCGGTAGTTATTTACCTTTTTACACGAATGGCAACCCTCACATTGTCTTTGCTTGAAAACGAAACGCATTTTCGGGGATTCCCGCAAATAATGGATACGTTTACTGAACAGGGCGCGGTAATTCCCCTACTCGCTTTAGAACCGAGTAGAGGAATTACCGCGCGGTGTTCACTTGTCTAAATTTCCTCTATCAGTGTATTGTTTCGTTTGGATCCTATTGCGCGTAGACGTATTGTAAGCATAGTCAAGCAAGTTAACATTTGTGTTACCATTGATTCCATTAGCCAAAGTTTAATGATTAAATAAGATGTCGTTTCACATAGACAAATCCAAGTTATACCAAAAATTGTTTGAATATTTTAAAAAATCTCATACAAGTACGAAAGTACAAAATGTACAAAAGTTGGTTAACGTAGTGTGGCGAAATTACAAATTACAAGGAAAATCCGACAAGGAACTAGATATTATTGTATCTAAGAGAATCGAAGAAGAATTGCAAGCGGCGACTAAGAATAAATCCAATCTACTAAATTTTTTTTCCAAGGTGAGTGACGAAATCATTTTAGATACCTATGAGTACTAGAAATATTAGAAATCGCCAAAAAGTTTCTCTTTACCGATTAGAAAATATTATGGCCTATCTCAAAGTATAGAAGTAATATTCATTATATTATAGATTTATTTCTTATGATTGATTCCGTCCATTGGTGACAAAGTACAGGATGTTAGTTTTATACATATACTTCGAAGTTGAGTCAATTATTCTAGCAGTGAGTAGATCTGATCAAAAGAAATGTTTTTTCCTTTACCATTTTTCTGGTAAAATTAAAGTAACAAAGTTATAGCCCTTTGGAAGTTTGAGTACCGCCCTGTCTCAATAATAATATTATGTGCTCGTGTTTGGCAACAACGGATATAATCCGCCTTATCGGTTCATCGCATCGGAAACAAAGAAGCGAAAGAATTTGGAACGATGTTTTTACAATTATTGTATTCAGTTGTATACAGTCAGTGTCAGTCGGTAACGCGTGAGTGAATAGTGGTGTCTGTTGCGTGGCTCAAACGAAATCAAAAATGGCACATGTTTACGAAAATGCTGGACTTGTGGACATGAATGCCGGTGCTCCAAGACCGCATGATCAAATACAGGTCCGCACTGAAATACTTGTCGGGAGGATACTTTATAAAACAAGGTAACATTTTTTTTTATTTTTACACACATATTTTGGTTTATCTTCCTTCTACAATCATTATCTGAAAATTAATGACTCAACTTCAAAGTCACCCTGTATACAGAAAACTAACACCCTGTATTTTGTGACCGGAACGAATTGCTCGTTTGAACATATTAGATTTAAAACCATAGGGTTTTGTATTTACCATATATATTGCCATACTTTGTGTTTATGTACCTTAATAAAAGAATCTTTAGCAGAAGCCATAGAAAGTTTTTATTTTTAGGCATCCTGTAAACCTGCAGAAGAAACAAAAATTATACAGTCAGCTTCAAATATTAAAAAAAAGGAAGAAGATAAAATAAAACCCGGTAATCATGGATTCGGCTTTCATGGATTGAAGACTGTTAATCTGAATTTAATATATGTACCAAAAATTTAAAATAAGTTTGTTATGTTAGTAAGATATAATATTTTTGTCCTTTACTCTATGTTGAATTCCGTATCAGTAAAATATAATCTCTATTCTAAATCTATTTTCTTATTTTTCAAGTTATAATTATAACGTTATAATTATAATATAAAAAAACAATACATTAATTGACAAATGTTTACGTAAGCATGGGGGGAGGGGGTAAGAGCTTTGCTTACTTTTGCTTATAAGGGGGATGGGGGGGGTAAATAATTGTAATAAATCTGCTCACGTAATACTTGAACGGCCCCTAAATTACTAACATCGGTAGGATACAAATTAACAATATCCTGTATTTCGTCAAAGGGACGTTTCAAATCTCAATCACTCTGTATTTACAAATTGTTGCACCATCTCGGCTCATATACATATGTATATCGGACAGTAATTAGGTACTTATTGAGGTCAAGCGATTTTCCTTGTCTGTAAAATGGAAAACTTGAACATAAATAGGTCAATAGGTGTACGGACAACCAATTGGGTGAGCATGCATTTATACCTAGGCCTAGTCACGTGAGCATTCTACATTACAGGATTGAAAGTACGTTGGCAAATATTCCATCGATAAATGAGGTTGTGGTACATTGTTATGCAGGAATATGTCTGTAACGTGGCGCTTAGAATATATGAACAAATGTGAATGAACTAGCCTAAAGTATAGGTCATACGTCTTGCATTAGTTTGAAAAAAAATATGAAAATATCTAGAACAGTATTAAAGTTGATAAGATGATAAGAAAACGTAATGTTTCTTAAAACACCCTGTAGCTCAAAAGTTAAGAGCTTTAGGACATTTATTCATATAAACCTTTCTTCCTAAAATTCACTAGGGAATCATATTTTAAGCCATCAATTAAAGTTTACCCTATATTAACGCGTTAGCAAGTTTGCATCAGTAAGGATAATAATGACCTCACAAAAATGTGAAATGGGGCGGACTTTGGAAACGGATCATCTTACTATGGACATAGTATCACGTTTATACTCGTATATTCAAATTGTATGTGGTACCGTAACAGATACATACAAAAACGCGATTTCCACGTATAAAAAGTTCCGTAATTCTCTCATGACTATAACTCATTTTGAAAGTAATTACATAAGTGCAATGTACACGAGCCCAGGTGATAATGCTAGCACTCAGTGCAAAGTGTATCAAACGACTATAAATAATTTTTATTGCAACGGAATTAGTTAATGCGTCTATTTTCTAGCGGCACCACTTAAGTGTATTTTGACAATTAACTATAAATCAGTACAAAAACAATTTCATTTTGACGTCATTGTTGAGCCTGGAAATATACTGGAAAATACAGGCGTCATTTGGATAATTCTTTCTGCTAACGTAATTTTGAGTCGAAGGCAAAGGACAACCTGTGAGAAGAGAGAATTCAGATATAATAGAATTCATAGAAATAATAGAATTATTAAAATTCATAGAAATAATAGAATTCATAGAAATAATAGAATTCATAGAATTCGTAGAATTCATAGAATTCATAGAATTCATAGAAATAATAGAAATAATAGAATTCATAGAATTCATAGAATTCATAGGATTCATAGAATTCATAGAATTCATAGAATTCATAGAATTCATAGAATTCATAGCATTCATAGCTTTCATAGAATTCATAGAATTCATAGAATCGGTAGTTTATTAATTTTTATTGCAAGGGAATTGATGCGTCTATTTTCTAGCAGCACCACCTAAGCACATCTTGACAATTTACTATACTTCATGAGAAGAACAGTTATATTTTGACGTTATTGTTGAGCCTGGAAAGATACTGGAAAATACATTCGTGATTTGGATATTTTTTTCTACTCGTGATAAAAAAATCACCATCTCCACTATTCGCCATAGAATCCATAGAATCCTTCGAATCCATAGAATCCATATAATCCACAGAATCCAGAGAACCCATAGCATCTATAGAATAGAATCCATAGAATTACAAGAATCCATATTTTAATAATTTTTATTGCAAGGAATTTCGTCAGCACCCGAGGAAGGCTTGTGTTTTAACTTTTTGTCGATCAGATTAACGAATTCTTCTACCGTAAATGGATATAGATACATGTGTCCTTTAATGATATCGTTGTGGTTTGGAATTGTGTTAATATTTCTGGATGTTTTCTCTATGATTTCTATGGAAGCATTTTTAAAGTATTTGTTGAACTGATCCAGTATTTCCCGAGGGTCTGTAAATAGCTTACCCATTTTCATCCAATACAGTCTTTTTGTTGTCTTATTTTTACCACTCAGCTACTACGAGTACATTCCAGGCAGATTTCACTGTATTATGAGAACTGAAATTAGTTTCTTGGTAGCAGACCCTTTTTGTTTCACTTTGATGCTATTCTTGGCCTCCAGATATTTATGTTTATTTTAGGGAAAGATTGTCGCCGGTACATGCCGTTTCCGCAAATGTGAAGTAGATCTTTTAACATCTTCATTCGCTCATACTTTTTATTATTAGTAATTGCTCCTTTTTTGTAACTGAAAATTTTTTGGAAGTGGAAATAGAACATTAGTAAGAGAATATGTTTTCTGATCCCGCATATCTACACCCTCTGAACATTTTGAATGCACAGTTTCATTACAGAAGTTGTTAATTCAATGGATAACTTAATTCCCAAAGGAAATTTTTCCGGAAAGCTAGCAAATACAGACTCGACGAAAGAACCTTTTGTAATAAAAATTATCGTTAGCTTAGTTTTTAAAAAACACTCGACACACAAGTTTTTTTGAGTACGTTTGCGTCGGGAATTTAATGAGATCGGCAAACTTGATGAGAACTTGCACATAACGAAGTTCACTTACCTTCAAGCGGTGTAAATATTCATAATTTTGCGGTCGCGACGGAAAGTTTGAACCGTGGGCGCCTTCTTTACTGAAGACGTTGCTGGGAGAGAAGTTTCCGTCTGCAAACTAACTTGATGCTACTTAGTACTTAGTTTTTCAGAAACAATTGACTGTATCTTGAACAACAACCAAAGGCAGCTATCTAACAAAGGGGAAGCTAGAGTTGTGTTATAGTACAGGACCTTAGATTAAAAAACGGGCATTGAAAAATAGTTGAAGGTGCCTTTTTCATTCAAAATATATCTACGTCACCGTCACGTGAAAGTGATTGTACATTTGTATTTTTAAAGGCCTCGCGACGAAACGATAACAAGTACAGGATAAGGTATTTCTGGTACGAGACCTAAGCTGAACTGGAGTATATACTTAGATATGTTCCTGAATAGCAGATTTCTAGCGGTAGTTGTTACAGTAACTGATGTGGCTAAAACACTCGGAAGTTTATTAAAAACTTGAAATAGGACTTCAACAAATACCTGTGATTGTGGGCCCACAATAAGACCCATCAAGCACATGGAATCCATATTACTCATATAATCATCAGAATCTATAGAATCCAAGAAACCATAGGATCCATATAATCCATATAATCGATAAAACTACAACCCAAAGGATCGTAGCTGAAAGCCTTGAACAAAATGAAGGGTCTGGCTTCTATACCGCAAAGTTGGGGTTTTCCTTTTCAGAAATAACTACCCTTGAAATCACAAAGGTAATGTGTAATGAAACGAGGGCGACCAAGTAAAAAAAAATAAAGGAAAAAGTACTCACTCTCCAGTTGACGAGAAGGGCTAAGAACGTCTCTGCCCGAAATCATACCGCTCCAACAGAAAATGATATCAGCTGATGCGCTACCGAGCAGACGCAGAAACCACATTGATTGTCTTACACTTAATGGCACATCTTCTAACAAGGAAGGCAAAATGTTGCGTAAAAAGTCTAGATATTGCATCCCGTCCAATCGATTTGGGAGAATAAATGGTCCAATGAGCATACCGTTCACCATGCCAGCCCAAACATTCACCGAAAATGTTTGTTGAAAATGTGCCCGACGGACAGCGTGCGGATTTTCTACTGACCAAACATGAGTGTTGCGAGAGTTATTCACCCCATTACGCGTGAACGTAGATTCGTCTGTCACCAATATGCACTTCAAAAAGTCCGGATTATTGTCATGTTGATGCAACAACCACTCACAAAACCGCACTCTTGCTGGAAAATTGTCAGGTTGAAGGGCTTGTACACGTTGAACGTGAAACGGATACAGCCCCTCTTCACGCAGCGTTTGCCACACTTTAGTTTTTGATACTTGCACTTCTCTAGCCACTCTCTAGTGCTTGTTGAGGGATTCCCGTCTACGTGATTACCTCTACACGCGTGACCGTAACCGTCGGTTGAAGGTTGCATACTGACCTGACACAGTGACCCCGACCCAGTTCTGTCGTCGGGTTGAGCCAGTGACCTTGTACCAATCGGTGATGTCCCGGGTCGCGGCTACAGGACGGTATTCAGATATTTTTGATGTTGCAGAGCCCTTTATCTCGGTTCCCTTAAGACATTGGTGCATATGGTACAGAGAAAAATTGCTTATGTTTTCAAGATCTACACGTCGTGTAAAGGAAAACCCCAACTTTGCGGACACCCTGTATATATATATATATATATATATATATATATATATATAGGTGAAAAATTAAAGCTTCCGCCTTTTGTTGGGTACTTCGACAAAATTTAAGCAAAGAGGACTCTTTATACCTTTTTTAATTCTCTCTAGCTTTCAATGGACTTTGCCATCATCATCAGGAGCTGCAATTACAATGATAACAGTAGCAACAAAAGTGTAAAATGAATTTAGATTGACTCAACTTACAGTAGTATGTGAGGATGTTGCTAATTGTTGTTTACGTATAGGATGAGGGAAACGTCCAGTAACATGGTGAGAGCTGGATAGATTGTACAATGGTCAAAATTATATAAACTATGACAAGAACAAGTTAAAAACAGATTAAAAATTATTTAAAAAACATTGCAGCATTACATCGTGAAGCCACTTGATGATTGCACAAATTAGTGGTCATGGAATAATGAGTGAGATGAAACCCTTTGACAGAAGGCCGAAGGATGTCAATGTCTGTGTTGAAAGATGGAACGAATTGTGGGCGTGTGCCAAAACGT